TAGCACTTTGGCTTCCCATACGTACGTGTATAAATTGTCTGCTACTGTCTCGTGCACATTCCCTGGCCGGACCTCCCCAGAGCTCACTCCCTAGTACTCACCTGTTATCATGTCCTCAGCTGAGAGGGGGGTGAGGTGACAGGGGCAACCCATTGACAGTTTTTGGGTGTACAAAGGAGCCATACTGCATGCCATTCTCCCCTGGCTTTCCCCTCACTCTTTCTCTCCACCCCACGTCTGTATGCCCCAGGCTATAGTCATGTCCTTAGCCCCAAAGGGCAGGCGCAATTGTGGAGTATGCAAATGTCAGTGGTGGAGAGGATGGCCAATGGCACCTGAGCACCCTTGCTTTCTCTTTTGGAAATCGAAAGCAGGCACCAAAATCAAAGGTTGTGAGATCTTCTGCAATGGTTAATATGAGACCATAGTCACAAAGCCTAAGTGAAATTGGTTTATTTGAATAGTTTCAACAATCAGTTCCCATTCATTGCCTCGTTCACATTCTGACATTACACTGATTGGGCCCTGCTTAGGGTTTTGGAGAGAAGGTGCTATACGCATCATCCACCCTTTTAGCGAGCTTCGTGATTCTGTGTGCCATTGACAGCCTGTGCAATCTCACAGACTTTGCCTCTGAGTAAATCCTCCTACACTGGTGGAATTGAAACAGTTTCTCTTTCCGTGCATACTCCCTTTTCCAATGGAACTTGGCATAATTTCCAGATGCCTTTTCACCTAGATCCCTTCCCGCTTCTCACTGCCTTAAAGCGATTAATGGATGTAATTTGGTTTCTGTCTTTCCACTGTTGCAAATAGAATTTCACGTCATTTATAATATTGATGGCCTACAGTATATTATTATTATTTATATTGCTGTCTTCAATTTTCTTTTTAATCTGAATTTACAAAGATAGGGAATTGCATGCTGCTCTGAATCGGTTTTGAATGGAGTGGCTTAAGAACCTTGTAATCAAATAAATAATATGAATTAATCTCTAATCTTAATCAGTTGGAAATCTGCTTCTCACTCTTGTCCAAACTATCCCAATTTCAATGGGCACATTTGAAAATCTGGATATTATTCTCACAGGGTGAATATAGAGATTGGCAAAGAAGC